GAAATTATTAGAAGAAAGCAAATGAAGCTGATAGCAGCACATGGACTGGTTGTAGACTATGTGAGGTTAAATGAAGGTAAGTGAGATCTGCAAGTAGCATTATATGTTGATGATTTCCATTTAATTCATGTTTTGAACTGAGTTCAAGATTTTCTGGCTAACATGTCTCTTCTAATACAACATCATTGCCTGAACCATGTATTACCTTGAAAGTACAAGCAAAAGTCTGTATTTTCATGCTGTGTTTTCTCAACTAGCAGCATTTGAAAGTACTAATGCAGGCAAATACGTAATATTTTACAGTCAGTTTAATGGACAAGAAGGCAGGAAATATAGAAAAGCAGCCTCTCATATGTGTTTTCTTCTGGAATATGATTACTGAACATGTGTTTTCTTTCAAAACAGCAGAGGAAGTGGAGCATTTCTGTTTTTACTTCTTGTGTCTTTGACCCCCTGAGTGCAAAGATTCATTTTTTAATGTTGTGATTGAAATTTCAATTGCATTTCCAGGCTATTAAACAGGAAACATGGCTTGTAGGTTGTATTAGCATGATATCATCTTGTTTAGGTAAAGAGGTGCGAGTGGATGTAAACATCTTTCTCTGACTAATGAAGATTAATTTAAAACTCAGAATGGGGAAGAGAACTAAAGCCTAGCACACAGAGGTTGTCCATATGAGGGACTGAGGACTATATTACTTTGCTGAGAATTGGTATCCACATTGTGCCTCAAGAGCAGTTACACAAAGATAAGGCTCCACAGTGGTAGAAAAAAGACAAAAAGAATACAGAATATAATTTCCTCCAAATGGAGCTGAGCTAGGTGCACAGGCAAGAAGATTCCCTCAAATCAGGAGGTCAACAGGGGCTATTCTGAGAGGACACCTCTCCTTGTATTAGGTCAGCCTTCTCAATAGGCAGGTAAATGTTGAGTCTGGCTGTCTCAAAAGGTGAGATTCACACACAGAAGGACTTCTAAGGCTGTTTTACATATTTTTTTAAAAAGTTATAATCAAAATGCAAAAGATATGTAACAAAACTTCCTACTGAACGTTACTGGGAAGTCAGAAGCAGGTGAGAAAGTTTTAATTTTCTTTGAGGCTGGTCCCCTAGCAAGAAAAGTAGTTTGGGATGGAATGAATGGAATGGCAGGAAGAGAAAGCAAGCAGAGCTTATGTTAGCAATCTTAACTTTGACCCGTATTCCTGTGATAAAGGAGGAGTAGACTACTGGAACCATCAGGAAGGAGGGCTAACTCTTTTTCATCAGTCCAGCTTTTGTAGTACACGACTCTGTAAGGAAACTGGTTAAAATCAAGCTGAGAGGAAGAAGGTTTCCCAGTAGGAAACCTTTAATTACCAATCCTGTTGAGTGCTCCACCCTGAACACCTCTTCCTAGTTCCCTTTCTAGGAGCCTGTACTCAACAACCAAGGCAGGGATTGCCAAATGTTGCAGCAAATGCTTCCAAGCAGCAGGGTGCTAGCATGGACATAACCAAGCTGGTTAAAGAGTACTAACATGATGAATAAGATGCTTTCAAGAAATTAGAGTCTGCTAAGTCAAGTTCTACTATTAGACAACCTGTAAGGAGTAAAACTAATTCAAATAAAATTTCTTTGCCAAAAATGAAAACATGTCATCTCCTTCGTGGACAGTTTCCAAATTTCAAAATATTTGACTGTTATGGTTAACAGCATTCTAAATGCTGCGAGTCACGTGTTTGCAGGGGTCATTGTGATTTTTGTCATTGCTGCTGTTGGGATGAGCTTTTCAGCTGCACAGAAAATTCCTAGATGTTATATCCTCCTTCAGGGATATAGGCTGACAGGGATTTCTAGTTGGCAGTCAGTCAGTTTTGTGACCAAAACACACAAATAAGCAGTTTTGATTTCATAGGTTTTATAACTGTAATACACAAATAATATCAAGTTTGCTTCTGTCTGGTGTATTAGCCATGCCACTAAGTGATTCTTAGTGTGACATATAAGCAAATAGGCATAGAAAGAAAGTGCACATCCTTCTGTTCAATATTTATTACCTGTGATTGTTTTGGAGACTGCAAGAAAAGATGGAATTGCTGAAGACCAGTCAAATTACTTTTGCTTATAATGTGAGTAACGTTTGTGTGCAGATCTCCATAGATTTCTGTTCCAGTCTGTGGATTTCACCTATCTCACAAAGTTATTTATAGCGTGAAATTGCATTCACTTTTTTGTCTTTGTGAGATAAAGCTTTACTATGCTCAAACAAAAACGATTGAATATTCAAACAACTTTGATGTTGGCTTGCATGCTAGCTCAAATCTGTTGAGCCAGCTAGCTTGCCATCTGGGAAAATTCTAACTTTAGGTTTTGTTTCATATGTTGGAATTGTTATTGGTTTTTTTCTTTGTTCATCTGTTTCATTTACTTATTCTCCCAATTACTATCCACTATTCTTTTTTCTTTTTTCTACCTTAGAACATTATAATTCTGGACCATACAGAGTCCATTTTTAAAAATCTCTGCTAATTCCTGTTGTTGCTACATTTCATTTCATCCAGACTTAATCACAGACCTATGATATAGTCAGGATTTATGATAAGACCAATACTGAAATCAACATACATGTCATGAGATTTTAGAGTGCTAAACTTGAATCATAACCCTCAAAAGCTGAGTTTTATTTTTCTGTGACCCATTTCCTTCAAGCTGGTCAGAAGGTATGAAGTGCTGCATCTGAGTGTTATGGGAATTACATGCAGAGATGGACAGAATATACTACTGCAAGAGGACAGTGCATAGCAACACAAAGCAATATTTTACCATTGTTGTTGGTGTTTACTCCAAGTATGTACAGAGGCTTCAGATTTCAAAATAACTTGTGCAGTATGTGCAAGGAGTTGAACATGTGCTACTAATGAATTGCACAGATAAAAAGGGCTCAAATATAATATTAATTGTAGAAAATAGCCTTAAAATAATATTAAGGCTATGATTTTTGGAAAAAAGGCCACTGGTGCAAAACTAAGGCCAGTATTTTTTCTAGACCTTAGTGAAAAATCATTTATTAGCATAGTTTAGAAATTTAAGAGCCATGTCTAAGTCAGATTCAAACATAAAATATTTAATCTCAAATATCTTCATCTTAACACTCCAAAATAAACACACTCACTCATATTTTTTTTAATTACCAACATCAAAATAATGCCCCTTAGTTTTCCATACTCAAGCTTTTTAAATTCTGCCAATTTTCTCATTTCATAGCAGAAAAGAGCATCTTGGGCTAACATTTTTTGTGCTACAATGTGTAGCAGAGGCATTTTTTAGTAACTGAAAATGTAACTTCTAGAATCAGTAGATTAAACAGTGAACTATAAATATGTTGAATGGTCTTCTTACATAGACCTTTACTGATTCTTTTAATATGGCAAAGATGATGACTGATGAAGACTGCAGTGTCACATATTACTACCTAAATCCAAGTTCACATCTAAAAGCAAGAGAAAAATAAATTAAAAAAAGGTCTAGCTTACAATGTGATGACCTTATTTGAAAGCTTGGTTGCTTGGTAATGATTCTTCTACCTAATAAATGCTGTCAGACATAATTAGAAAAAAATACTGAATAAAGTTTTCCGTATGTTTATAGCAAATTTGTTATTTCACACTTGAAACTGCAGATAGTTAATCAGAAAAGTTGTCTTAGCTCCACTGAAAGCAATGCAAGTTTTTGTCATCAGATGATCTGCCTCTTTTCTTTGATGATTTTATAAATGTATCTGTATTAAATTTGTAATGCTGATATTTTAAAGAAATCCCATAACTTTTTGCATAGCATTAGGACTGATGGGGACTTTTCCAGTAATCAGAACAGTCCACAGCATAGAAGGAATGTATTTACTACCATTTGCTTTCCATCTATGCACTTGGTCTAATAAAAGCATTACTATTCCCTGCAGCCTTGCCATGGCTTATTTCTTAGTGGCTTTTCAAAGAGACATTTGAAAATATTAAGTGGTCAGACATTTCTGGAACTATTAAAAATTAGCTGAGAAAATGGTTATATTAAGAAGTGTAGAAACTATGAAAAGAATTAAGGTCTTTACATATATAAATTCCAAATAAACCTCTGAAAGTATAATTCTTATAGTTCAATGGCCTGATTCTTCCTTTACTCTTACTAACAACAGCAAAACTATTTGCATTCATTCATTCATGGAATAAGACAAATTCACAGTTTTAAATGGAAAAAAAATCCAGATGCCACAAATGAGAATAAAGAGTTTTCTTGTTTTTCTTGTTTTTTATTTTTCTGGAGCATCAGCAGCAAAAAGTGAAAATGTCAATTTTGTTATTCTCTCTGCTGCATACCTATATGGACTTTTAAATTCCCTGCAGTAGCTGTTGCCTTCTCCTCAGTTAGTATGGGGTGTAGTTGGTAATCTTTGCTTAGATTGAATCTGCCTAAAAAAGTTTCCCAAGGAAGAGTCATTGCCACGAGTTTTTATCACCTAAGCACAGCTGCAGAAGGTCACTGTTCCCAGTGCTGATGCAATCAGTTGTTTCCTGACAAATGTTACATGCATTGATACATTAACATTCCCCGCACCAAAACTGCTAAGAAATTGACTTGCACGTCTGTACTTTTACTAAAGCTCACAATGCCATGGCCAAATTTAGCATGGGTTTTTTAGATAATCTGACTGCTTGCACTTTAAATATCTAATTATCAGTATGATTTTTACTTTCCTGGATATGTCACCAAAACTGTTTTAAGAGGTAGCTTTGCACTTCAAGGTGAAATGGGTTTGAATAACAAAATATGCAAGCAAACAAAAGTGAAATTTAAAACTTTCATACAGAGGTTGCTAAATCTCTGCTACTCCAAAGTATCTTTTGAGTTTGATTTCTGACATTTGAGCACTCTACTGTGTGTTGTGAATCTGAAGCCTTTGCACCATCAGTCAGGAGAATGACATTTGTACAAAGAAGGAAATAAATAGTGAATTTTTTTTCCAGTTACATCAACACCTGGGTTCTTGTATCAGGAAGCCGAAGTCCTACCAGACCTCCACATACTAGCACAGTAGAAGCAAGGAGAATAGGGATTGCTTTGGTGATACCAACAAGGGAACCGAATATTAGGTTTCCAAGTACAGCTGCAGCTTTGCATAGTGCATTCAGAAAGCCAAAGCCTGTTGCCCTAGAAGAGAAAACAGAAGAAAGTTAAAATACAGGTGAAAGAGTAACACCTTTGAGGCACATCCCCAGTGACAATAAATCAGTACAGTCCCAATAGCTTATACAAAATTTATGCCAATAAAGATTTTGTGCTTACATTCTGTGCTCTTATTTAAAATGAGAAATTAAAGCTCAGCTGCTACAGTATTTCATGAGGCAATTAATTTTTCTGCCTCAGGGATCAAAATGAAATGAATGACTGAACAGGTGAGTTTGCACCTCTAGAGCTGAACATGGAACTTGCAAATGGAAATTCAGGAAGACTTAAATGGCTAGATTAGGAGAGCAGACATGTCAAGTAGCTCCCAAAGGAGAACTGCTTCGTCATCTGTGTGATGATTCTTAATCAGAATTAAAAGATGATCGTCTTAGGGTACAGAATTAAAATTGAGTTTCTTACATGTAGTACACATGTCAAAACAGTGCTTTTTCAAAGGCTAATGAGACTTCCAATATTAATGAATGTTCATCTCTTAGAGGTAAAGAAGATAGGGTATATAAAAATCTGTTGGGTGAAAGAGATAACTGAGAAACTTTGGACAAAAGGAAAAGGAAATAGACTGCCAACAGAAAGTATGACACCAGTAATTCAGGTGGAGTCTTGCATTACAGCGATGTAATTTTAGTCATCTGGAGTATTTTTATTATTTTGTACTCTTGCATATATGTCTTATGCAAACTGCCATTATTTAAATTGTGTTTTGACATGACTGTATGATTCATTGATGCAGGAATAAGCTTGCCCTACCAAAAGTTTCCTAACAAAGATATCTGTATAGTGGTAGAATCTGTAACATTTCTCAGCTCTCTTAGAAATTCAAGAAGAGAGTTCTGATTTTCAGAACAAAATATTTCTTGCTTGCATCGCAATTAAAAGCCCTATTCTATACAATAAGAATTAAGAGAAATGCTAGTGATCTAAGTGACTTTAAAGGCTCTAATTATTCTACTGAAGCACCTGTGTGAGAAAGGAAGAGCTCTTACGCTCAGATCTGAAATCCCGGGGAAGTTTGAAAAGCTTCTACTGGAGCTACTAAAAAGGAGCCAAGAGAATCAACAGTAAGAAGTAAGAACACTTGACCCCAGCTAAGAGCAAGGATGTTCTCAATGCTCTTTGCAGAACAGATTTTTGATTTTGAAAACTGCGAACAATTATATCAAGGCATGAGAGATCCTCTGTCTGAAGCAACTGACTGACCTCGCCACAGCCCAGAGTGTCAGAGTTCATCTCCTCTGCTCTTTGACAAACCTGTATCTCAATAGTGTAGATCAGTTAGACCTTTTGGTGTCATGCTTCCAAGCTGTTTGCTAGGGGAGTAGTAAAAGCTTTGGTCTAGGAGAGGTGACCAGGATATAGGGGCATTCAGCACTGTCCATGCCCTGTCTGGGATACTGTGCTTCAGAATAATACCAGTCCTGGTATATTTGAGGACCCTTCATCAAAAGAATGATGACTAGGTCTAAATCCTTCTTGCACATTTCTAAAATACTGTGGTTGGCTCTAAGAAGCATAATCCTAGTTAACCCACAAAGTCAAATCCACAATCTGAACAAGATTCAGAATGTGCCATTTTTAAATAATGGCTTTCCTTTTGAATTCTTAAATAATTTAAAAGAATGTCTGCAGAACAGAATTAAGACATGTAACATACTAATTAATGCACCTTCAAACAGTTTTTATTTCCATTACATTAAATATTTATTTTCCATTGTTGCAGACCAAAGTCAGTTCCCTTACATAAAATGTTATAAAAGTAAATTCAGAAGACCTCATAGTGTTCTAGTATCAGCTTTGTGAATCTGGGACAAAACACAAATTACTTTTTTTTTTTTTTACTGGGTGATTATACATTTATGCATTATTAGTTTGGCAATATGCCTCTTGCACCCCCCAGCAGTATTTTAATCTCTGAAATGTCTGATATTTAGCAAAGAAATTACTGGTTTGTCTGAAGTAAGAACAATTCCTCTTTGTGTAAAGCATGGCACCCATCCAGACAGAGCATGACACTAAGTATTGGCAGTATCTAAAGAAAAAGAGACAGGTCATTTCTACAGCAGAGTAGAAACTATCAAAAAAATCTGTGGGAAAAAACAAGTAGAAGAGACCTAGATATGTCTCTTACATGTTCAAAGTCCTTATTTACTTGTTTTATATATATTTGATTGAACCTGCAGTACTTTTACAAAATCCATAGTGCTAAGGAAACCTAAACATGCACATCTTGGACATAACAATTTTGAAAATGACAGGTTCTGCCCTCCAGCAGCCAGGACCCCTGAGGGCTGCCAGAGAGCACATTGCTGAGAGCAGCAGATGAGGAAACTTGGGGAAGTGTTGTGTTTGGAAATTTCTGACAGAGAAACATTTGCAGCAGCTCCTTGAAAATACCACTTTCAGAGGAGAAACGAGCAAGTTAAAACATGTCCATCCTAAGCACGACCTTTGGAGGAATGGGTCTGAAGGAGGAGCATGAGCTACACTGAAGGGGGAAGAGAAGAGCATCCTACTGGGGTCAATTTCCATAGCCTAAGAGAAAACAAGCAAATGTCTAGCATGGAAACATTTGTGCTCCAGGGACATATAAAGTCCAACATATCTGGAGGAATATGACCCAGGATGGGTTGCAGCTACTGAGAAGGAAGGAGCCCCAGACTGACAGATCTTGTAGGGCTCACAAAACCAGAGTAGGTAAGGTTGAAAGGGGCCACAGTGAGTCACCTGGTCCAACCTCAAAGCTCAAACAGGGTCATTTTAGACCAGCAGGTCTGCCCCAGCCTGTACTGATTATTCTTCCTGAGATGCAGGACCCTGCATTTTCCTTTGTTGCATTTCAGATGGCTCTTCTTTGCCCATATCTCCAGCCTGCAAGGTCCTTCTGAAGAGCTGCACAAAGCATGCAGGTAGGCAGGAGATTCTTGAGGAAAGGGCTTTATTAAAATAGACTGTATTGCAAGCAGGTGGAAAGAGGTTAAAGACAGCACAGCTGGACTGGAAAACCAAGTTTATGTGATAGGATAACAAGAGATTGCAGCTATTCTGAAGAACTCAAGGGAAGAAGGAAAGGAAAAGAGCAGAATGGTTCTAATGTCAGCCTCATTTATGCACAAAAAGTACTTCTAAAGTTATGGTGGTGACTGGTTGTGATCAGAATCTGCACATAAATATGATTTTCTTGGTTGTCAATGCTGATGTAAAATCAAACTTAACTCCACGTAACAGTAACAGAAAAAACCAAACATAGAGAAACTAGATGCCTAGTCATCAACAGCCTCAGTATATTCAGAGATACCAGAACTCCCCAAAGAATACACAGATCCAGCTAAAAAAAAAGATCAGATAGATACAGGCACGTAATCTTTGGAAAAACAATAGCACGAAACATATGGGGATGTTATGTTTAGTGTTGTTTTATACTACCTTATAAAGAAAGGTAAGCTGTTACACAGATGTTGGCTGCTTATATCAACTAGTTATGACAGTGGTCTGAATACAATTTTCTGAGCAATTTGAACCATTTCTTTTCATGTTCTGATTTCTACAGATGCCACTGTTCTTTAGATCTATTATTGATTATATACCTACCGTTACTATATCAGGTTCTAAAGTAATTTTGTAATACATACAATACCTCTTCTGCCTGAACAAAATTAAGGTAATTTTTTTGCACCTAAAAACCAGTTCTGTTTGTAAAATGGACTTACAGAATTTTGCTTATTATTGTAAGGGGTTTTTATTAGTCTAATCCCATTAGTGTTATCAAAATATAAACAAATAAAAGTAAGAAAAAGTAAGCTCATTTTATTGCCCTTAGCTGTCCTGATAATTAAAAAATGAACAACCCAGAAGAAGTTCAATCTTTTAATCTTTAAGCAGATTTCAGGCATGTCCTTTTGCCTAAAATAAGCACGTAATTGGCATGAACAATAAGATTTTAACAGGCTTAAGTAAATTGTTGTTATGACCTGTACCTGAAAAGCACTGTTTAATCTTATATCTTCACACCCTTCAATTTTAATACTGTGTTTGAATGTGTTTGTACTTACAGTCAGAACAAAGTGTCAAACCATTATGGAGCTCTAGGGATAGCAAAGTCAGACTGCTTGCTTTTTTAAAACATCCTTCTTAGAGCAGTTTGTGATTCAAACTCTTTAAAATCTGTATTTATTCATGCTTTTGTAATTAATTCTCCTGAATCTAGGGAAATAAAAATCCTGGAAATAAATATGCTGGAAATAAATATGCTGCAAATCACACATGTATAACTATAGTCTCTTGCAGCATTAGTACAGTCTCTGTTACACTGTTTGAGGAAAGTGCAAGAGTGTCAGCAAATTATTAAAATTATGTGATGTATCATCTTAGCATGATGAACAAATTAAGTGAAAAATTCTAAGGGAATAGGACCATCTATATATACACCCATTTTCTTAGTGTTGATCAATTATTGGGCAACCTTTTGCAGAAAAATGTCATGTTGACTTCATGAGTAATCCTCATTACTGGTCAAGGGAGACCAGTCATACGTAGCAAGAATCCTTTGTCCAGCTAGAGAGTTCACTTAAGTATTTCAGGCATATCACTAAGACAATGCTGGTTAATCAATTTAGGATTGTCTTAAAAAAAAACCCCAGATACAGAATTTAGTGTTGATAGGAGAAAAATACTAATGTCTTTTATAAAAATGCCAGCATGAAGAGAAAGCTAGATGTTACTGAAAAGGAATTTTCCCCAATGTATTTTACTTTTGCTGTTGAGAAAGCTGTGACAAAGAAAAATGCTTAGCTTCCTTTCATCCAAGGTCCACATAAAAATGGCAAGAGTCCAAACAGTTAAAAATAGAGGGATTATCCAAGCCTTTAGACTAAAAGAGCTTGTTTCCTGATTGCCACATATGTTCCTTCTTAGACCAGGTGCTTGTATTCCTACATAAAATACTTCAGATCCACTTTTCCACTGCTGATAAAATATGTAAAAACTTCATTGTCCTGTGGCAGAGTGCTAATAAATGTGTAGCACAAATATTTGTTATCTTTCTTGCCAGAGCAATTCACAAAAACAGCAAGTTACAACAAAATGTTGTTAGGATTAATAATATGTAAAGCATTAAAACAGAGTATCCAAATGTTCTATGGACAATTTTCTACGTCAGATGTTTTTATATTCTCTTAAAAAGTTAGTACAGAACTACATATCATGTAGTTCATGGCTTGATCATTTATAATGCTTAGTGTGCAAGTAAAACAGTGGAATTTGCCTTCCTTCCTTGGACCAGTGCAAAAGGTATAGGTGTGGCAGGTCATGCCTTAAAAACTTTAAAATTTCAGCAAAATGCAGTTGAACTATATCCACAGGATGAGAGTAGAAAATAGTTGTCAGGAAAGCTACTGTAAGTCAATTACTGCTATTATGACTCAAAAGAATAGAAAGTTTCTCTTCTGACATCCACACCAATACAAACTTTGAGATACTGTGAGAATAATATTTATTACTGTGGGCATCGATCCTAAGGGTTCAAGAAGATGTTAAAAAATTAAAAATCATGAACTGAAGATAGACTTATTTCTTAATTATGGCCAAACCCTTACAAACTTTTTTCAGAGGCATTAATAAAGGCAAAACAGGATGACTTAATTTTGTAGCTCACCTTGAATTCTAAGTATTCTTGGACAAGATTCAAACCCAGATCTATGGCAGCCATAGAAAAATGATGAATTGCTGGCTATCTGATGCAGTCTGATTTATTCTCTATGTGGGAGATGATCTATTTATATTCCACTTTCTATTTAGGTTCTAGTTATTTTTTGTATCATCTCCCTGATGAGAATCTTGGCTTATAATGCTGGTGCTTCCCAAGTCCACAAGAAGACACTTACCACTTATGTGAAAGTAAAAATTGCTTTTTAAAGTAATAAAAATGTCTTAAAGTTCCTTCTTCAGAGAACTTAAGCTTTCTTCCATCCGTATTTATATTACAGGCAGAACTGAGGAACTGTGCAGTGTTATTGTAGGCCCCTTGGGCACACATTACAATGCAAGCTGTAATTACCTCATCACACAATATTTTTTTTCCTCACCACTCTGCCAATGCAGAGAACAAAGAGGGCTTGAGGGTAAAATATAGATGTAGTGAAGAAAATTTAGTTTCCCTCATCTGATAAAGGAGTTGGAAGATGCACTGGGGACTGCAACATGGGAAAACAGTTTAATGGTTAAAAGAATCAAGTGCTGTCAGAAGAAAGGATAAAATCCCTACTCCTGTTGAAGAATTTGCATATGGTGCAAGCAAGTCATATAAAGCTAACAAAATGATCTTTAAGCATGCATTTCATATTTTCTACATGCTCAGCTTAGCATCTTCAAGTTTATATTGTTGGAGTGCTAGGCACCTATAGCTGTATTGAAGTTACACTTTCAACCCATTCCTCCTTCTAAAATGCTCAGTGACTGGAATTTTTGGCATCACACACTCCAGCCTACAGATTTCCTCTCCTGATGGACAGCAGAGTCCATTAAGAATATAAGGTAAAGGACAAGAGAAGAGACAAGAAAAAAAATAAAACTTCTTTACATTCTTGAATTGTATTAATTTACTTGCTTGTTGGAAATCACTAGTTTATATCCAGCTATCATGAGTGTCTTTTAAAATTTGTGTATTGAAAAGTTTAAAAAATGGTAGAATATTATAAAAATATTATTAATTACTTCATATGTATAATCTAGAAGACAGAAACCAACTAATGACCAACATTAGTAACATTATTTTCCATTTGAACATTACTTCATCATCTACCTGAGAACCATTTGAAATCTATCGATCCTCTAATGTCTATTACAGCAGTTGTACAAACCAGCTGAGGTTTTATGAAGAATGTGAAAGCAAAAGCTAACCTAAAATAGCATAAAATTTGGCAGTACTCATCAAGAAAGTAGGACAAACTGTGTAGTTACCTTGATTCCCGGGATCAGTAAACTAAAATGTTAATATGTAGATGAGTCTGAATTTATACAGAATTCAAATCTGTCAAGATTTTGAAGCAAGAATAGCTGATAAAGAATAAAATGAAATGTGTGCCCTGTAGCACATAGACTGCACATTACCAAACTGTTCACTACACTCCTACCTGGCTAAAAGCCAATATGATCCCCAAGCGCCTCAAGTACGATTTATGAAACACCTTTCGTACTGTACTGCACGACAGCAGCAAAGCCCCTGCAGTTCAGCAACTGGCTGGTCTCCAAGAGGAGGAAAAGGAGGGGCTACCCAATCCAGCCTCCTGTGCACGGTAGCATGAACTGGCTTCATTCCACCCATCTATCTTTAAGCCCAACCTCCAGCTACCCTTTGCTGCACATTTGTGGTCATTTCACTGAGAGGCTGTAAGAAAATAGTATTAAACACTGAGAGAGTGAGCAAGGATTTTGTGCTTAGATTCCCTTTACAGGAGAATCTGGAAGCCAGTTTCAGGACCAGATTCAGTCTGGCATTTTTTTGCTTTTGCTTTGTAGCAAAAGAGAATATCATCTTAAGTATGAAGGATTTTATATGCAAAAACATATCAGGAAGCTTCATGTCCCACATATGCCAAGAAAGGTTGTTCAGCCCTACAGTTACTTGCAGAAGCTGGAAATTCCCAGCAAACTGTGGCAAGCTGTGCCTGGTTATGGAGATCACAGGAGTTAGTCTGGATTAAAAAAAATTATCAGACAAAAATTATTGTAAGCAAGTTATTTGAGTCTCTGAAGTCTCTTTAATTTTCAAAAAGTTCTACAAAAGAAGTAGCTTTGCCCCAGTCTAAAAAAATATCTGGAATTGGTTGTTTACTCATAACCAAGCTGGCAAAAACTAGCAGTCATGGTTCCATCACTATCAGAACTTCTGGGAAAAAGTCTCATTAAAAGCATATGTCAATAATGTTTTTCCAGGCACAGGTACATTCACCCCTCAGCCTTTTCATACTGATAATTCAAGGGGACAAGCTTTTCCTCTGATTTGTTGTAAAAACCAACTCAGTTTCAATTAAGTTTCTGTTTCCAGACAGTTATTCCTGCATACAAAATATTTTTAAATAGAGAAAAGATGAGTAAGAAATTGCTATAATCCCAAAGCTAGTAGAAACTATGAAAAAAACCCATTAAATACAACTACAGATGCCTTAACATCTGTATAGGTATATATAGATAAATATCAGTTACATTCTTTTTATCATTCCTAGTAATGATTTTTTTTTTCCATTACCAGCAATGACTTTTCCAATTATTTTTATTTACTTCATTTTAGGAAAACATATGTGGCTGTTACATTCAGGAATACCTAAAAGATGGTCATTTCTCCAGTATATTTATTAAAATTATATCATAGCATTTGGATGGTGGAAGAATCCTTGCCAGAAGAGCAATTTCCTGAGGTGTATTAAAAATACTAGCACTTAATATTAAAGCTCAGTTCTTCAGATTCATAAGTAGACTGGTATCATAACTTGGTATAATTACAGCTGTGGACATCAATTTCTTGTCTGAAGAAGCACATAATTTTAAAATGACAATGAAAGGAAAACAGGGAAGCCAGTCTACACTTTTCTAAATCTCTTCATGGACAACGTTAAAGACACAGTAACTCCTTTCTGAAAAATTACACTTGCCAGTAAGGCATGATTCATTTATAAAATGGAAATATTTTTCACTGCATTTCAAATATCCAGTGAATGACATAATAATTAGCACTGCAACAGGAGAAAGAACACAATGTCCTTTTTTAGGAGTCTGGGCAATTTTACTTAAATATTTTTAGGGATTTGAGAGGGGAGAAGTATTAAAGTATATTCAAGATAGTACAGCTTTTACATTTTTGCACTCCCAATACAACAGAATATGACTCAACAGTTCTTCCTTCAGTCCATTATGTGACATAAGGTCAGGATTAAAAAGTGCCCTGTATCCGAAAAAAAACCCAACCCATGTCATCTAGCAGCAATGCAGGATTTGAAAATTGCCCTGAGATTTCCTGCAAGAGCCCTGAAGAGTCAAGAGCAGTGCCCAAGATAATTTTTACCCACTTAGTGTACACTCCTAGTGGCCCTGCATACAAATTCACAGCCAACAGATTAGCAGCACAGGGTGGTTCAGACAGTGATTTTTATCACGATTCCCATCATTTCACAGTCAACAGACAAATGGAGCTGTATTTCTGGTTTGGACCAACTACTGCCCTTATATACAGTTAAACTACAGGAAACTCAAATATACTCCATCATTGTTTTCAGAAATATTAAGTGTCTTTTAAACGAGAGTAGGTGTTAACCTTCTGCTTTCAAATGAAACTACATTTATGGCATTTTCCTAATTAGGAGATATTTGATGCAAAATACATACTAAGTTGCTCAAAACCCCTCATTGTTTCCCTTTTTTCTTTTTATAGGACAAATTATTAATTTGGCCCTCTCAAAACATCACTAACTCAGTAAGAACCATACAAAATAATTTCTATTTGCCATTTCTGCTGGTACATAGTTTCAGTGAGTTTAGGGGAGGTGCAACTGCACATACCTTCTGTCTGTAGGATACAGCTCCACAGTAATGACATCTAGAGAGTTCCATGCTGAGATGGTGAGGCCATTGTAGAGGCACAGCATACCTATCATCATGGATTCGCTGGTCCCAAACCACAGGAAAAAACAGCTGATGCCAGAAAGAACCATGGAACCACCTAGGTACAAGGCAGGTGAAACAAACATGTAGTGGAGTTGTATTTAAAGAATAACCTTTGTTTTGTCTAATATTTCTGTGCACACAGTGTAGCTAAATAAGTGACCCAAATATTTGAGTCAAAAACCCAAGAGACCTTTTCTATCAGTAGGGCCAGACAGAAATACAAATGTTGAAGAAAGGAGGTCACAGAAAAAAATATGACTTCTCACATATCAAAATATATCCTGAAGTACTAAGTTGAAAGCCTCTTTGAATTACCAAAGCAAGATGCCTGAGCAAATCTGCCCCTACTATTCTTGGTTCATCACCTTTTGCAATTACACGAGACCTGTTCATATAATAAAACTGTTGTATTTATTTTAATGTATTTATATAGAGATATTGTCCTAGAAAATAAAGACAATGAACTACCATATAGTTATTTAAGTAAATTGAAAAGAGATTTCTCATTGTAGACAATCCACAGGAGAAACCTTTCAACTGTGTTCCTGTGCAAAATAGATAACAGACAAAGAACAGCTGATACTTTCCAGAAGCTGCTCCACTAGCTGAGAGTCACCTGTGCACATCTTTCTTTCCTTTCAGCTGGAGCAGAGATAAACCAATGGTCATCAGACTCCAAAATCCCATTCTAAATGCCTAGGTTATGGTCTTGTAATATCTGTGGATGTGCAAGTAGAGGTGGCTACAGATCCCATTTTTCACAGAGTTTCAAAACTGGGGGTTTTTAAAAACAGTATTTATGATGACACATAAATGACATATCTGCAGAAAGAATGTTTTTCATTTCTCTGGCCAAATTCCTTGAAAAGGGGACATGTTATTTTTGACATTCCCTGTAAGAAAGCGAAGCCCCTACCTAGCATTGTTAACCGTCCTATTCGATCCATCAGGAGAGCAGACACAATATTTCCTGGTAACACTGCCAAAGTTCCCAGGAAATTAACAAAGTAGATCCAGTAGGCACTGTAGTCATCATCAAAAGAAATCTGGCATCCTGTCCTGATGTGAAAAAATGTGCAATTTATCAATTCACTGTCAACAAATTTATACTGCTCGAGATCTGTGGAAAAAAGAAAAAGAATAATTTCAGCTAAGAGTGAACTCCATGTGCAACTTTTGATTAAAAACATTTCAAATTCAAGCAAATTTAATGACAAGTTGGAGCTTCCACAGCTTTGCAAAAAGGCACTAGTTACTGCTAGTAATTTTGATAGTTTTTATCTTACTAGAAAAATTTGCAAAGCTCTTGAAAAGGACAACTAAATCCTGGAATTAGGAAGTTAAATTACTGTATTTTACCCTGGCTGGACTGTATTTGCTTAAGGCCTTTCAGCACCAGCTGGTCTTGCATAAAATACGCTAGGTATCTGCAAGTTTCTATGACTCAATCTTTCTCAGTATCAGCCTACTATTTCCTGATGAGACTGTGAATTGTGGTCAGTTTGGTTTGACTTCCTTTAAGTGAAATATCCTGAGGAATTCAGTTTAAACTGATTTTTGTTTCTGAGAAAGCCTCATGGTCTTCAGCTTGTCCATAGATGAGTTACTCTATGTAGTTATTTCTTCTGCCAATACCATTCCAGAGAACTATCCCTATATTCCTTTTATTTTTCCATTCCTTTTGTCAGCCTTATAAACCTGAATCAAGAATACCTTCCCTCCACATTAAGGTCATTGCTTGCTGAGAAACCTAGGTCTGTTACCGTTATGAACTGCTGTAGTTACAGGAAAGTGGGAAGAAGTGCCCCATCTTTTCAACAAGCTTAGTTGGCCATGTTCTACTTTCAGTTATGTTTTATTAAACTGGAGAAAAACAAAGTCTTCTGTTTAAACATATGAAAATATGGATTCATATTTTTGTCACAATACTTAGGCGACTGGGAATGAATATAGACTAGGTAATTTGAATCCTATACTCAGATTCCCCTGCCACAGAAAGCACAGTGAACAAAGTATTTAACCAGTCCCTTTTGGACTAAATAAAAATACAGTCGTTAAAGCTACCAGTAAAGCGGTAAATGCATTTTCTTCTCTCCAGAATGAATCTCTTTAGACATGGTTGAAAGCAAAGATGAAAAATAAATCACTTATTATGTGAATAAAATAAATAATTCATTTTCTGAGTCAATATTAGGACTGCAGTATCTCTTGAGCAGTGAGATCCATTCACTTCTCTGTTGTAACAAGCTAGCTGCTTTTTATAAATTATTATTATTATTATTATTATTATTATTATTATTATTATTATTATTATTATAAAAGAGGACTTCTTGTATGTCTTGTTAGAAATCCACAAATTATAAATGTAAGATGAAAACATGTGGCTGACCAATGAGCGTCTGAGGCTCTTTCTCCTACCTGTGTTGTAGAAGGTGGTATTCACGAAAGTACAGTTCCTGAAGTATGTGTTCAGTGAAGTAATGTCTTCAAAATAACAGTTCTTAAAAAGTGAATCTTCAAAGGTTACTGATTTAAACTTCATCATAATAAACCTGCCCAATACAATGAATTGCTGTCAATTTACCTTCATAGTTTTGAAATAGCAACAGATGCAGCTATTTAGATCTAAAAGATCTCAACTCCAGTAACAATGGTTCCTTTGATGCATTTTGCAGATGTGATTAATGATTAACTCATTCTAGAATACTATTGTTCAGAAGAAGAATTAGTAAGACAAATAGCTCCACATAGTTACTGGCCCAAACTGGTAATATAATTTGTTTGATAATATTTCTGTTGTTACTTGTCTTTAATCATCAATCAAAACCAATGTCATGAAATTCATGAGACAGCCTTGTAAAATCACAATTGCTAGAAATTTTACATTACATCTGGAAACATGGAGATCACGCTTCAGAAATTAACACTGGGAATAAACAAACACTTGCTAATACCAACAAGCTGAAAATAAAGAATTTTTAAAAGGATCGGGATTTGTCAGAGGAACACACAGGTTACTGGGTTAGGCTCAAATACAAAACATATCAGTTTTAAAATTGTTTTCACAAAATGGCTATAACATGAATAAAAAATTATATTGCCAGTTACACATCTAGACATGTAAGTATGTCCTCATTAATTCTGTGCCTATGGATGCAATTGTAATTATAATTACTATGTAAATAAAACATAATTTGCCGGCAGCTTTTTTTTTTTTATTTCTGAACATCTTCCTTTCTACTGGCTCTCATTTAACACCTAGATTTTATCAAAATATAAATAGAAAAATCAGTGACAAATTATATTACATACAGTAACTTTCTACCCCGATGTCACTAGACTAAAACAATGCTTCTTTGAGTAAGACTTTTTTAGTAAAATTCTACCAAATAACACAATTATGCTAATATCAGCAACCATAACAAATATGTGGAATGACATAATTATTTTTGTGATGTCTTTTATTTCACATGAAGGTGTGGAAAAAAGGGCAGTTTTTTTTTCCAAACACAGACCCAACATTATTCTAATCAAACCTAGTGTCACCAGCTAAGTATTATTCTTATAAGAAGAGTAATAGTAGGAATAGGAACACCAAAAAAATGCTATCTACAAAGGAGCAGGAATTAAATTCTTTCACAAATGAATTTGTTGAAACCACATCTTTATGAGAAGGAAAGAGAAAGCTAGTAGTATTTATCACATACTAACTAATGAATTCTCTTTTTGTATTGGTCAGAAGAATAATGTTTTCAGCCCATTAGTTTTAGTTACTATATCATTTTTCATTTGTGACAGACTGATTAAAATCAGGCTGGAGTTCTCATTATCATTTTTCATACAGCACTTTCCATTCTAAAATGTAGACTAGTTCCAGAGCAGAACAAAGAAAATATAGTGACTAGATTAGTCAGTTAAAACAAAAATGACAGACTACATGTTCTACATTCTTCTGATAAACCTTTTTTTTTTTTTTACCTTTGTACAGGAAGTATGTGACTACATTAAAATTGGTGTCACAATGATTTGAATTAAAACCCAGCAGGAAAGAAATGTATTAAAAAGTCACGTATTGATGGATCTTCTCATTAAGAAAGAACAAGAAGGAAACAGTGAAATTGAGGGTGAGTAGGGTATTGAAACATTTATGAAGCAAGGATATCAAATGGGTTCACACCTCCTGGAAAATGTTTTGTGAATCCCAAATAACTGTCAGAGGCATATTAAATTTGCACATTTGAAAGAGTTAATTACTGATTTAGCATAAATTAATGCTAGATTTAGTGTTTTACAAGAATATTCTGTTTCAATTGATGCAACCTCAGTTACAGACAGTTCTTTGATTTTGGGAGAACAACTACATTCTGGAAAGGAGTGGGACTTGGAAGTTATGGCTAGGTTGAAAATTAAATAATGGCTATTTTTTTCTTCAATACATAAATCTTTAACTATGTCAAAACTCAAGCACTGCTACTACTACTACTAAATCATCACAAAATAATTTTATTCTCTTACATATAGATTTTTGTATGGAAATAATAATTACTTATTATCATGACTTCCAGCAGACCATTCACATGGTTGGGGTGTACATTTCTTAATAGAAACCAGATACCTAAACCAGCTGTGTTTAATTTTCCCCTAAGTTATCTAGTTATTTGTGAAATCCAGATATAGCCTTAATATATATGCCTTTGGCTAAAAGAATCACATAAGGCATTGCCAGAGTGGTGTTTCCCATTCCAGGGCTGTTCATGCTTTTCATTGGTCTATGGTACTGTTTAGCTTTCATTTTTCTGTGATAAGATCCTAACCTCCCAATGTTCAGCCTGTTCACAGAAGTGTCTATCACCAATAAAAAAAAGAAGCAGCAACAGAGATGAAAGTACATATTTGCCCAGCCCTCTACAATATGCTGCATATGTTGGATCTGGAAACCTTTGAATCCCACTGTGAAAGGAAGTAAAATTGACGCAGGCTTTTTGTTCTGTTTTGCAGGAAGACAAGGAAGCTGGGTTTGCATGGTGGATCCTCACACAGGAACCACAAGGGCATGTACTCATGGCATTTCTTCCCATGCTCATGAGTCATAAGAAATTAAGAAAAGAAATAAATATGTACTAAAAGGTAACAAAACCATCTATCATTACCTCATGGAAAAAACTGGGTTATTAGGATGAGATTTAAAATATGCATCTGCTTATTCCAACTAAGCCAAGATAATAGGAAACCTCTAGACCTGTCATTGATGTATTCTCCGTTGCTGTGAATCTGATTTTCCAGAGTGAAGTTGAAGACGAAATGTGAGACCTCCTCATTGCGGAAATGTTTCACTCGGGATGCATACTCATCTGACTGCAGATGTTTAATGACATCAGGAAACCAGACAGATAAGCCGTAGTAGCTGTGGAAAAACAGAAAAACTTCAGGCACCAATTTCACTCATTCAGAAATCTGTGCAAGGTGTGAATGAGCAGCTGTCTTGGACACTTATGTGATTGAGCTATTGCTCCACCACAATAAAATCCTCCATAATATAGAATTATTGAAAGATGTTGACACCAGAAGATGTCAGTTTTTCAAAGAAGGTATTCCTGATGAGTCAGGTTTGCAACCAAGAACAGACTAACTGACAAACATGGCATTTTGTGGAAAGATCCTGAATAAAACAGATGATCATAGCACCAGAAATTTACATTCAGATGATTTTTCTATCTGTCAAGACTATAAAAAATGGTTTAATCACAACCACTCTTACCCAAAAGACAGGGTGAACCACACAGCTGTAAGTTTGATTGTATTATCCTTCACTGGGTAGTTGAAGCATCTCATAAATGTCAACCAAATCTGTAAATCATTATGAAACACATTTATTTACATATCTTCACTTATTTTGAACAGTTTTCTTAAAGGCTAGAAGATATTTGATTCTTATTTGCTTGCTTCTTCAGGGCATGTGAGAGAGCAAATCAGCTCTCTGGCTACACTTCTTTTGATGCTGCCCAGGATATGATTTGCTTTCTCAGCTGAGAAAGCATAAGAACATATTGTAGTCTCATATCAATATTTTTGTAACCACTGTGGACTGTGTACAAAAATTCAGCCTTATCTTGATCACCTCAAACTTTCTTCATCTCTAGACAGTTTCATTTTACTTTCTCAAATAAGCCAGGGATTTTTTCAGAAATGTTTTCTTCTTACTTCCCAGTATTAGACAAATTATATTCCATAATTAGACAGAGCTACGATCACAGTTTGATATATTGTAACCTACTATGGCTAGAAATTCATGCCTGCACTGTATGAGGAAAATGTGGGACTATGACAGGGGCAGAGACAGTATAGTGGAACTGACTGAGAATGGTGTTCTCATCTCCATGAGGGGAGGAGAGGAGAGGAGAGGAGAGGAGAGGAGAGGAGAGGAGAGAAGAGAAGAGAAGAGAGGCTGTCTGTTCTTAGAGATCCCAATACCCATCATGCAATGATGACTCCGATCCAGGGTCTAGTCTAGTGATATAGAGGATGCGAGACAACCAAGCTGCAGCTCCTTAAAAGCTGGTTTAGTAAGATGTCAAATAATAATATTTTAGTCTTCAAGTGCTCCATTTTTGGTCACTAATTGTAAAAGTAGGCAGTTTCTGGGGTTTTTTTTTTCCCCTGGGGAAAATGCGTCTTTTCTTAACAAAGTAACTTTGTGACAAATCTTGGTTTATAGCACTTCATCATAGTTCTAGAGAGCTTGAAATGACAGATTTTTAATAGCTGTGAAAAGACAGTTTTGAACTTTTAAAAGATTAATCAACGAGGATTGTTTCAATTTTTGTTGCAAGGCTCAAAGATACAATGTAATTTTGGTTTTACAGAAAAAATTAACAAAAGGATAAGAAGCACAGTCCCAGCAAGCTTGTATTAAGATCTGAAATAGCTCTAAAATATTTTTCTGGTAAAACATTTAACATACCTACAAATATATGCAGATACAATGCCTTATAAAGGCATTAATGTACATAATTTATTAATGAATTTATAATTTTTAACTAATGTGGCTGCCTCGTGTTCCTCCTGATAATCTTTCATCTCCTCCTGTGTCACCTCCTTCCATACATATATTTTGATCCACATCCTCAACACATAGTTATTTTGTGCTGTTTATGAATATCACCATGTAATTATTAGCCATCACTTCTGTGAGGACCAATGCAGCATTTTCCTCTTCTGAAGCTGGGATAACCTCCATGATTCACCTGCATTTTTTCTGGGTCAGGAAACCAAAAAGTTACACTGGTTCCTGACTCCCTCAGTCGCATGGAAAATGTAGCATTGCAGCTATCAACAGCAGGAGTTCAGCAAATCTGCCTAATTTCTGAAAGTTAATTTAAAAGGAAGAAGGTGATTACAGAATGAACAGAGACATTGTTACTTACACCATACAGCTCTGTGCGGATTCTTACAAAACACCTCCGGTACCAAGTTCCAGTATCGCTCTCAATCTCTATGAGCTCATCTATCTGTTTAGGTGTTTTGATTCTGGTAACCTAGAAATAAAAACAGAACAAAAATGCTTGTAGTTTCTGGAATCATGAATTGCCTATGGAAGAGTATTGGTGGGGTTTATTACACCCCATCTGCTAAAAATGAGCAGATACTCAACCTGTGTCTACAGTAGACATGTTTTAGATTTATAAAGTAATATTAACATATTGTAATGCTGAAGTTTTTAAGGATGCAACAGTTTCAGAAAACTCTATGTTCAAGGCATGCAGGAAATGCATTTCCTCTGGTTATAATAAGCTGTTGCTGTCATATTCTTCTAGAGAGTTGTTGTATATACCCCTGATGCCACAAAGGATAAAACATTAATTTCATCCACCAGTTAACCATGCCCAGAATTTGTCTTCAAATTGTTTCTGACTTGCTATCACAACATTGTTGGAAGTCATTTGATTGAAGACACAGCAATGAAAACAGAAGTATTCAAAATGTCATTCATTAGTAGTTGGACAACCTTTTTATTATTTTGTTATTATTTCTAGTGTTAAACAGAGAAGAGAGAAGTTAGGCAAAATTATCTGGAACCATGCATATTATTGCTGTTATGAACAATCATCTACTTATCTAAAGTGAAATGAGATAAACAGACATCAGGGAAAAATACTGAATTACCAGTGACAGAGAATGTAATGGATCCTGCAATGCTAATTTTTACTTTTACTCTCTTGTGTAGCAGAACCAGGATGTGGTTCTGTTACACAAGAGAGTAAAAGTAAAAATTAAAGGAAAAAAAAAGAAACTAAAGAAAAAAAAAAAGAATTAAAGAAAAAAGAAAAATTAAATGGCAGAACCATGGTCTTTCCAGGCACAGGATCTGACAAACATATACTACTGTATGGTTTTTGTTTTAGTTTCTCCTCTGGTCCCAGCTTCATAGTGATATCACAAAAGGTAGTGTATTCATCCACAACTGATTTTAAAAGAAGATGAGTAGAGAACAGAAAGAAAATTAATAAAATAGAGAAAGGGACTGACACAGAAGGAAGGAGAAAGCAAGAGACTGCATGTTTGGTGTTTGGCTGCAGTTTCTGAAGTTAGACATAGCTTCTGTTTCCCCTTAACAGAATGAGGACAACCCCTGCCCCCACCTCCAATGTATCACAGTGGATTACAAGACATCAGGATATAGCAACATTGATGATAAAGGTCAAGTTTTGAGCCCACTGCTTTTACACATGTATACTGTTTGAGACGCAACAGCAGTGTCATGCCATGAACAAGAACACAGAAAAGCCCATTAAGCAGTTTGAGGTACAACTACCCTCATTTCTGAAGTACTAGAGCTCGCTGTTTGCCAGATCATGACGGTATCAAAAGCCTATAAACTTCTTGTCATGCCTCTTCCAATAATCGTGTCTGCATCATTGCATTGATCTCAAGCTTTTCTTAAACTGCTTTCAGGAAACATATTATACAAAAGACTGAGTTAAGTCCTCAAAAAGTATCTGATATCTCCTATGTACAGAAATCCTTACATACCACTCCTCTGGGCAGAAAAGGAATGCCTTTTGAGTCCCACTCTTGTGGGCTCAGGGACAGCATTTTCCCTGTACTGGGCACCTGACTCAGTTGGAGCTGCGGAGATTGAGGGAAACATATGTATCCTGGGACCACTGTATGTGACTGGGGACAGAAGTTCCCTGGCGTCGGTGGTTCTTTAACATATGAAAAGTCCTATTGAGTCAGGATAATAGTCCATCTGGAACATGCAAATTCAGCATGTCAGTGTATGAATAATAAAAAAACACCCAAACCCAGAAAGGAAAACCTATTTTAATGAAAATGATGCTTCTGTTTAAAAGCCATGGTTAGAAATATGTAATGTTTTAAATTTTTAAAAATCAAGACTTGTTGCAAAGAGAAATATTTACAGGAAAAATAATTAATAAATGGTAATTGAGGAGTAGAAAAATTTTTTATTTTAAGGATGCAAAGCTTTTTTTTTTTTTACTTAAATGTTTAAACAAAGAGATCTGATAAATAGGTATTTTAAAACCCCAAGAAGATAATAAAGCATATATATAAAGGTCTAACTTTGGTAGTTCCATGACTGAAGATACTATAAATTTATTGGTGTTAGTTAGTGTCACTGCTTTCAGGTCAAATTCTTCAAAGTATGAAGAGCCACCCTCTAAATTAATTCAGGAACCAGAATATTCCATTTTGGTTTAACTCCAAATCCAACTACTTGTCCACTGATGCCATCTCTTTCTAAAGGCTTGAAAATAATCACCTCAATAATTTAAGTAACAAGAATAAACATGACTTGTGAAAAAAACAAACTTCTAGAAAAGATAAAGTTAATATAATACAGAAAAATGCATAAAAGAAAATAATTCTAAAAGTATAGTGTAATATATAAAAAGTTAAATCATCTGTAGGGTCAGAAAACATACTACCAAAGGGGGTCTGATGTAACTAACAACATTAAGTGAGGAAAATAGTAAAGCACAAGTCATAAAATGGCATTGGGTAAGCAAATGAGAAGTATAGAAAGTTTAGGAGAAGTATGTGAATAAATTACTGGGAGAAAATGTCACAATATTGAGGACCAACAGAAAAAAAAGAAACTAAAAGGATATGTCAAACAAATTATGCATAAGTTCTTTGCTTTCTGGGTTTTATGAGATGAAGTGCTGATGTTGTACAAAAAGAAGAGGATGATACATTTTTCTAATCATTTTAATGCAAGCTAAAAATAGGGACTTCTATATATGTCTAACCTTGACACACAGTGCAGTATTTCCAGTCTCAACTTGATATGTGGAGTAGAGTTTTCCTAATGCTTAGGGCAGAAACTGGCAAAATTAATGGCTGACCAATTTACAAAAGTGACTGTAGATGAAGTGTCGGAGTGTCACATTTTAACAACCATAGAGACAAAGGTTTGTTAGATCGCAAGAGCTGGAAACAAGCAGCATGTGCTTTGTTTTGTTCTCGACAGCTGCTTTAGGACCTGATTACAATTACGTCAAAGTGACGTGAGAGGTTTATCCTTCCGCCCACATTTTCTCCAGCACATTCCTGTCTTCTTCCTTGGTTCTTAAACCAGTGCTAAAAGGGGACAGGGTCAGTACTATGGCTGACTGTGAAATCAGTCAATGAATATCAATAGTAGCAGAAAAAAAAACCCCTGGAGTCACCAGGAGCAGGCATATTCTGACTGAGAGCTGCTCAGATCAGCAAGAGCCAATTGTGAAATTACACCATAGCTGTATGGTGTTAGGCAAATCCCTTTACTCATAAATTAAATCAGAAAATAAAATATTAGATTAGGTGGGATTAGGAGTAGGTCACCAGTGTACCGATAAATGTGGATTTAATACGGTAAATATTCTAACCATCTTTTTTTCAAGTTAAATATAGGAATTCTTGAGCTTCTTTGTGGAAAGGTTTAAATGAAAGCAATGGAAACTACATTCAAGGCAGCAAACTGCAAATAGTAGTGGAATATAAGTTATGTGGTCAGATGCATTCCTCAAGACTGCCTGCAAATGCAGAACCTTTAAGAGGATTTCTTAATTGAGTTACATGTGTGTTAAAATAAGAAGAAAGCTTCTGGAAGACGAAAAACATCCCACACATGGCTCTCAGGGAGCAGAGCGCACATGCTGCCACAGCACTGCACAAGCTGGAGAGGCTGGATTTCAAAGCAAGAAAGTGCTGTTTGTATCCAGGAAGACAAGATTGTTTTGTATAGTCTTCATAAATAACAAAGATGCCATAAAAAATTCCATTTTTGAATTGGCAATTTCTCCTCTAGTAGAAACAACACATCAATACTTTAAATAGGGTTTTATAATTAAACCTCAACAAAATGAATTTGAGCCTCCCAGACATTTTGAGAATATTAAATGTTTGAAATTACTATTTCATAGAAATGAAGACGTAGTTTTTTAAAACCATTGTTTTACCTGATAAGAATGGGAAAACTTTCAAAATCCTAAAGACACAACAGCTAAGTAATTTGGACTATGTGCCTACTGTTATTACTCAGGGTCAAAACTTAATAAATAAAAGAAAATCTATTAACTATCTTGGTACACCAGATAAAATTATCATGCTGTGGCTTCATACACCCATGAATATCCTGGCCAAAGGCTGATTTCTTAGCAGACATTGTATATACAACAATTTCAGAAGGAATTCACAATACTTTTTATTTAGGCATTTGGAGTGCAAAAAATTGGCTTAGCCCTTTAGAGAATTAATATTGATTGCTTAAGCTGTCCAGACCTCACCAGTCAGGAGATTTGCTGATGTGACAGATGATTAGCTTTAAAAGCAATACTCACAGTGAAGACTTTCTCGGGCTGACCACGAGCACGCATGTTTGTGTCATGAATTTGCTTGAGTATCATCCAAGCTTCATCATGTTTTCCAACCTAAATGTTAGGACAAAACATTAAAGTGCAACATATGTACAAATTGAGTTACTACGTATAGTCCCTGAATTATCTAAATGCCTGCTTGGTAGAAGTCATGATATAAAACAGAAATAATTTTCACTGGAATCTAGAAACCGTTTGGGAAGTTATACCTCCAGCAGGAACCGTGGGCTTTCCGGCATAAAGGTGAGGGCAACCACAGAAGAGACACAAGGCAGTGCACAGACAATCACAAATACTCGCCAGCTGTGGAACTGGTAGGCAGACCCCATGCTGAAACTCCATCCTGTGGAAGCAGAAATTCACACAATGTAGACAAATAAGGAGTATTATATGTGTTATCCTAGATATGTTGCTTCTTGGACATGCAAAATGATACCTATATTTAAATAAAGCCTGACTGATATGTTTCCACAAATATTGGTCATCTAAAAAGTAGTTTTACACTATGACTTTTAGACTCTTGCGTGTGACTAGTCATACTGGAAAGTGGTTGTATTATGGATGAAAGACTTTCTTGTCTTTCAGGGATGAAGAAGCTTCTTTCAATTCTCTTAGCAAAATCTCTATTAAGGTACTTATGTGAACCAAACAGGAACATCATCACCATGCATAAGAATATATATACAAATATATATATATATATATTTTGTATATATATATATATATATATATACAAAAAAAACCCCACCTTTCTATGAACAATGGAAGTGGAGAGGCTTAAAAATCTACACACAAATTATATGTTTTATGGAATTGCATAGCTTTCCTTAACATTAACTTTTTCTACAAAATTGTTTTCAATACTCTTAATAAGAATCACCCAGGTGAAACTGGAGGACTGGTAGTTCAGCTTTTTAATAAAATGTCTGGTTGGTTGGTGTATTATGACTGGACTATTGAAATGTTATAACTATAAGAAAACAAAGAATTTGTCTTAAGAAAAAGTACTATTTGGGTAACTACCTTGCCTTTTATTCGTCAGCATAGCAGGAATTTTCAAGTAAAATTTTCAAGAATAACTTATTAAAAGGTGAGTGGAAGATAAGAATAATGATAAAGGACAGAAGAGGTCACTGGAAGAAAATGAAATCTTGGGTAATGAAAGAACTGATGCACTAGATTAATCTGCTACCTGGATTACTTGCTACCTGGTTTTTCTAGGCAAAGACATAGTTAAATCCTTCTGGATGTTAGTAAACAACTGGTAGGACATAGTATACCAAGTGGCCTATTAAATAGTTCTCCAAAGGAGGTATTTATGTGAGAAATGTAAAGTATGTTTTGGAATGTAAAGATTCTATGCTGTGGATCATAAACACTTTGAGAAAAAATGTCTTTCTCATATTAATATACTTATATACTACCACATGACTTATTTTTATTCTTTATCAATGGTTTGGTGAAGCATCTTGATGAGCAGATGTGGGAATGGGTGTATTTCTGGTCTCCTACAAACATCTTATATTTCCGAAATTATATCAGTTTACTCTGCAGCCATTTGGCACTGCCACCTTTACCTCAGGGAGAAAAGGATAAAATCTGTAAGAGTGTTGACAATGATCTTAGAATCCCATGTAATTTTTTTCAAGTAAGGCTCCATATGAACATACTTTACTGCTCAAAATATCCTTCCAACTAAACAAGGATGTCTAAAAATTAATGTTAGATTTTATTCCAAAATAAACCTGGTATTAAAACTTACAAATAAAATTGTAAATAAAACAAAAGCAAAGACACAAAAGTGTATTAGAATTCACATTTTATTGATTTTTGAAAATGTTAACATTTGATCTTATGGAATTTCAAGACATAAATAATGTGGATTTATTTTACATCTAAATTTTGAAGGGACAAGGAAAGAAAGAAAGGTTTACAGTGTGTTAATGAAGCAATTACAGACCACACCTGTGTTTTGGATATTGTGTACACATTTTATTCTAAAAATAGAATCACATTCTTCATTACGTAATTTAAAGTATAGAACAAAATCACCCGATGCAGAATTTGCAAAATAATTTTTTGGTGAAATTAATTTTTAGTCTGATCAGTGAGTTGATCTGAATCTTTGGACAGCTGTGCAATTGCTAATGCTGCAGGGAAGGCAGCGCAGGATGGTAGTTTTCATCTTTCAGAACATACAGTATCAGCCAAGGTACTGGCTTTTGTTGTTACTAGAAACAGTTCCAGAAATACACAAAGCCACTGTTATAGTTAGGCAATCTGCCTTTCACAGCTCCAGTTTATGTTTTATAAGATTGAGCTGTACAAAGGGCAGTTCTGCAGTAAATGAAAGCAACCTTGCTTTACACCTGTTATAAAGCAACAGCAACATCTTGTGCTCTGTAGCCAGTCCTGGAAAATGCTCTTGATAATTTATTTTTAGCAGTAATTTATTAATATAAGTGAACCATACTACACTTAATTAAAAACAATATATGTGCTGTTCGTTCTGCTGGCATTGTGACAACCAACAAAACATCTTTTTTACTCCTCAAAATACTTGACGGACATGCCAATTGAAATGTTCATTATAGTTTTTATTGCTTTTGTTCCATCTTTTTCACTATGTACTGTATCAGCTGCTGCAATTTATCTTGCGATTTAATGTATCTGCCGAATTAATAAAAGAGAAAAGTCATTATTATAAAAAGCAATTCATAGAAAAAAAGCTGAAGCTGCACAGAGCTTTCTGAAGGTTTTTCCTCCCATGTATTCCAGCTCCAGCACTAGATCAGCAAAACAAACATGTATTTCAAATTCACAGCAAGTTTTGATTTATTTTTATATTTAACACATCCTTTTTCCCCAGGTCATGAGCTAATCTGGATAATGGAGCCATTAGAGCAGCTCTGAATTTAGCTCACAAAGTGGCTTTCATTCCCTTTGTACGCAAGTCTTAGAAGTAAATGAAATTGTGTTCTTGGCTGTAAGTCAATCTCCTTCTCCCCTGATTCACGGCAAAATAGCAAAGGCACAGCAGCACTACATGGCTGCATTCAGTGCACTGCTCAAAACTGGATCCAACCTTCACCCCTGCACCCTGGCTATGGTGTACTCAAGAGTCATTAGTCTCAAGTCTCATTAGTCTCAAGAGTCATTAAGTCACAATCTTGTATGAACTGCAAAACATTTGTCCCAAATGCATCTTGGGAGTAATGTACTGTAGAGCAGCCCAAAACCTGTGATGGCTGAATCTGAAGCTTCTGCAGGAACCTTTGTGCTAAATCCCACCCTCCTGCTTTCCTGGCTGCTGGAAAAGGCCAAGTGAATCACAGACATGGCAATTACTGATTACAGAAACACAGGAGCACCGTGGAGCAAAATCAAAATGTACAAGATGCTAATTTGTATCCAATCACCAATTTATGAGTTGAGCACAATGTCAACAAAATCTTGTCTCGCAGAACAGCATACTATCAGCCTGATAATATTAATATATCAAAAAGATATTATAAAATTCTTGCTCCAAAAGAGAGAAAAGATTATTTGTTACAGACTTTCTGAATATATACAGAGGGAAACCTGTGCACATTAAGATGAATTTTATGAATGTATAACACTTGGTAAACAGTAAGTGCATTTAAGCACAAGGATCCTCTCCTACAGCTATGGGGATGATTTGTTTAACTATCCACAGTAAGGGTTGCAAGGAACATCATAGATCTCTTCAAACTCATACATCTTGAACTAAATTGAAAGTGGACAATGAAAAACATGGGTGCCCACAGACCCTGCATAAATAGGCTGGCAAGGAGACAGTTTATATATACCAGAGGAATAAAGTTGTGAACATCTTTCTAAGACACTAAAGTTGGCAAATAAAATCCAATCAAATATTGTGATTTTATGGCATGGTTAGCTAAAGGCTGAGCATTTTGACAATTTTTGTTCAGTATGAATAAGAGGAACTAATTTCATGGCAGAGTCATAAATTGCCAAAACCTGATTTTTCATAGATTTCTGTCTTTTAGTAGATCAAAGGAGGGAGTAGATGCAGAAACATACTTAAAAATTACAGACTGGGGAGAAAGAGAACCAATGAACTTACATTAATTCATCGACTTCACAAATTCTTCCAAAGAATAATTTACATGATTTTTAGCTCTTCTCATTTCTGTTTTACCACACAACCTTTGGTCAGAAGTCATCTTTCTAGCTCTCATTCACAATGTTTCTGTTTGAAATATTTATGGTAACCAAGAAGCATGATTGCATAAAATTGTCACTTGGTGGCACTGTTACCGTACCCAATACAAATAAAGCTTAAAACTATTGCAGGAAGGCTTTTACTATCAAATGCTGCTGTTTTGTTGAGTATTTCCCAAACTAAGCTAAAGCAAAATTATGAGGACTGGAAATATTTTGAAGCTTGCATCATTTAAGTACCTTATTATTGCACTTATATTTTTTCTTCCCTGGCATTAACAAGTTTAACTGTCAGTGTCATCTAGGATTTGAGACCATATATTGTAGTGCTACTCATTACAATAAAGGTGAAACATCACTGAAACTGAAAAAAAGAAAAGTGCAGGTAATTTTTGTAGCTGCAGAAAATCTGATACACATTTTTACAAAACTGGATGAAAACCATGATTTTACACAAACGCAGAAATGATGTTTTCAGAATTCTTCAGTGTTGTATTACTGTAAAATTCCAGTAGCACAAAGTAGAACACTCATCTTTTCTGTGATTAAATTATTAATATCACATGGGAAAAGCAGTGTTATTTTTAGCCTGTGTAGAGAGTTAGGTACTCTACAAACCTAGTCTCAGCAGGTCAACTGCTAGTAATTTCTGAAGAAGGAATTTGGAAATTAAATAGCTGAAGTGTGGCAAGCCATAATGGAGTGAACTTAACAAAGGTGCATGGTTCTCTAGCTAAATGTAACCAGCCTTTGAGGATCACCAGTTCAATGGAAGAAGAATGTAAAAGCGTTCAACAGATGTATTTTTCAAACACATTCGACTCAGACTTGGTCTGCTGACACTTAAAACGTGATGAGAAAGAACAAAGCATTTTCTAAAGACACATTTCCTCTGTCACAGGGGAAGGTTTGTAAGCACAGACCCAAGTCACTCCTCTGTGCTGGCATTGACATTTATCTGAAGACCTACGAAAAAAAGGTCTCCAGCCACTCCAGTGGCAGTATTTTGTATTCCAACAAACCCCAGGACAGCTGCAAGAAGAACTGATCTTGCACAGAAAATAATTTTCTCTCAAATACTATCAAACCCATTCCTGCATAGCACTGTAATCCAGGTGTAGTACCCCTGATCAGTGC